ATATTTGTTTATACGGAGAGGGCACGTCACGCACATTAGTAATAACGAGGGTCTAACGTGAATTGGGAGTCATAAATAACCTTCGTCTACGAAATTACGAGTTTTTATTGGTAGAATCTCGCCCCCGAGATAGGTAACTCGCCTCTCGTCTGGGGTATTCGAGCCTACAGTTGAGAGTCGAGATCAATCTGTGATGCTGTGCATTAGGTGTCGTAACTCATTTGGCTACAGTTTTTGCCACCCCGTGACCGCCTCTTTCGCGGAGAAAATGGTAGTTTACAAACAACACATTAAAAAAATGATCAAAATTTATATGACTATTACTTCTGGTCAAGATATACGTAATCAAAAGGGAAACATAAATTAAGCAAACGTTACACCAAAAACGATTTCAAACAAAACGTTAACGGTATCAAAGACGTGATTCTGCATTGAGGTTAAATCAAGTCCATTTCAACAGCAAAGATGGAAAGTTATAAAAAAATATAAAATGTTGCATACAAAACTATCTGCGTTAAATAATACAAAATAACATCAAACATTTACGGAACGATGCCTTCGTGACCGCCATTAAAAAAAACAAGATGCCACACTTAACATGCGTTGGTGCTCTCCATATGGAGCGGAGCAAACAGCGTTTTTCCTTGTAAAATAGCGTGTTTGCCAGCTCTAAACAAATATGGCATCAACGTTGATTGTGGGTGGAACCTCTCATGGTTAATATTTAACCATTCTGATATCACTATTTCATTCTCCACACAAAATTTAAGTAACAGTCTCGTCCATACCAAAGACAAAATTGACAAATCAGGGCAAATCAGGTGTGTTATAAATTAACTTGTGGCACCCGTGAAGCCTTTCTACATTGGTCAAACCGGTCGTAAATTCAAAATTGGGATCGCGTTTTTCATTTAGCATTTTAACAATAAATTTGAAAGTCTTGAAATGAATTGATTTATAACGGTTAAAATATTACTGATCACTCACTAATTATTATTTCGGCGTTGAAATTGGAACTAACGCAATTCGATTGCATATGTAGCAAACGTTCCCTCTTTTTCGAACGCTCCTTAGTCTTTTAAAATGCGCTCGAACAAACACTGCATATTTCGCGGAAATATTGCATCTTCGTCCTTTATCGCCGATCTTTCACGACGCCTCGAAATGCGAACTCAGTTTAATTACGATTGTATGTATGGCATAATGGTCTAGTAGCAACGATACTCGGCTTGCAACCAGGGGGCTCTGGTTCAATTCTTTGCATGACATTTTTTTTTTTACAAAAATGCGTATCCCAATTCAGCGGAGTTGGACATTAGGTTTAAGATTGTCTTCTCAAATTTTTTTCAAAAGCAAAGTTTTACGAGTTTTCCAAAGGGATACGCGTTTGCTATTTACGGATATGCGCGCGGGTATGAAAACTAAGTTACTCTGCGGTAGGCGATTTTCAAAAAGGACCGCAATTTTAATTTAAATCTCTACAGAATCGAATCTATTCCACCAAATCGGTTATTCAGCTGATTTTACTTAGGCGCGATCTAAAAATCTGTTTTTTGTGAATTTCAAATTTTGACTAAATTTAATTGAAAATAAATAACATAATCAATCGATGCGAGTTTTCACAGGAAAAATGAATTAAAGCTTGGGGAAATCAAATTGTATTTCGACTTGAATAAAGGCACAAATGTTGGCGAGACTTTTTTTCTGCTTTTATTATTATTGCACGGATTGCGGTGGGCGTAAACGCACCTTCCGCTTCATTCGGTTAAAACACCTTCCCTTTTTCTACCGGCGCTAAATCGAAAATTAATCGCAAACGGAACGGTTTATGTAAATGCGAGTGAAAGCGCGGAATATGACTTTTACGAAATTGTTCATCGGCAAAACAACTTTGTTACAAACAATCTGGCGAAGGTCGTCGTGACACGTTGTAGTAATAATAGATTCGGGAACAACTACGTAACATTTACACGGAAGCTTATGGTTAGAGATTGGCCGAAAACGTCCATGCACCAGATGTGAATACAGGGATTTGGTCTATTGTCTCGGTCAATAAATTAAACTACCATTTGCTAAGATTAATCGCGGAAACGTTAATGATTTAATTAAACAATTCGAGAAAGTAATGTCCGGCTTATAGGGGACGCGTTCGTGGCGGAAAACAAAAACCTTTCCAGTTTCCGGCGACGACGACGCTATAATGAAATAAAGAAATTCGCGAGAGGTAATTTCGTTTGGCCGTGGGAGTAAAGGTAATTAGTGCCACCAGCTCTTATTCACGCGTCGTAGGTACCTACTATACAAATCTCGAAAGTTTTACTCCAAAAATCTGCCAAGATTTTCAAGGTACTGAATTATGTATGTAATCACCCCACAATATTTTCCAAGATGTGTTTACATCAAGAATACAAAATCAAGGAGCGTGCTCGACGTAGGCGTGTGTGTAGAGGACATATTTATACTTTATGTACACGGAACCCGCGACATAGGAACGATTTTTAATGTCTAAGCTGCGTGTTTTGTTTGTCGATGGAATGAATCTTCGAAGCCGAAATGGCATTAATCAGGAGAAAGCGTGATGCGCCGGTGAAAAGTTAACGACGTAACAAATGGTGGATCATACGGCGGAGCAGAAATCCATTTCAAATATGTTTACCTTCTCTGAAAGCTCATTTTTAAAGGGATGAAGGTGGAACGTGTACGTTTGAGGCATTACGTACACGTTCGTGTCTCAGCTACTTAAACAGTTGCCGACCATTCACATTTTTCTTTAAAGCTCGTCTGGGGCATAAAGAGACCTCCGGGGTTTATTTAACAAGTAATATGAAACCGGATATGTAGGTAACATTTTGATATATTGAATTTCTTGGCTTTTGTGCCAACTTACGAGCGATGTTCCATTAATATTGAATGAAATCTTTTTAAGGGCGCGGTTTAATCACAACGTTTTAAGAATGTCGATTGGTAGTAACATGAAAATAAAAGACTGTCAATCAATGTGAATCGATGTTTTGGGCCGTTTTAAATTTTGATGCAATATTTCTTTATGTTGTTTTTTAATCGCATCCATTTGTAACTTGTGTGACAATTTACAAAACAATTTCAACATTTGTTTAAGTTTGTCAGTTTGTATCGTTGACAGGTCCTGTCACGGTCGCCATGTAATGATACGGGATTTCCTGTTAGGACTCACCTGGAATCCGAAGGAAATACGCTTTCTCTGGCCACTCGAGTTTTATTCCCTACTTCTACAATACTACTATACTGCCTACATTCTATCTTACATGCTAGCACTATTT